ACTAACACTAAGAAAGTGGATCAGTCCAGTTCTGAAGTCTTTACACTGGTTCCTCACTGACACTAAGAAAGTGGATCAGTCCAGTTCTGAAGTCTTTACACTGGTTCCTAACTAACACTAAGAAAGTGGATCAGTCCTGTTCTGAAGTCTTCACACTGGTTCCTCACTGACACTAAGAAAGTGGATCAGTCCAGTTCTGAAGTCCTTACACTGGTTCCTCACTGACACTAAGAAAGTGGATCAGTCCAGTTCTGAAGTCTTTACACTGGTTCCTCACTGACACTAAGAAAGTGGATCAGTCCAGTTCTGAAGTCTTTACACTGGTTCCTCACTAACACTAAGAAAGTGGATCACTCCTGTTCTGAAGTCTTTACACTGGTTCCTCACTGACACTAAGAAAGTGGATCAGTCCAGTTCTGAAGTCTTTACACTGGTTCCTCACTGACACTAAGAAAGTGGATCAGTCCAGTTCTGAAGTCTTTACACTGGTTCCTCACTGACACTAAGAAAGTGGATCAGTCCAGTTCTGAAGTCTTTACACTGGTTCCTCACTGACACTAAGAAAGTGGATCAGTCCTGTTCTGAAGTCTTTACACTGGTTCCTCACTGACACTAAGAAAGTGGATCAGTCCTGTTCTGAAGTCTTTACACTGGTTCCTCACTGACACTAAGAAAGTGAATCAGTCCTGTTCTGAAGTCTTTACACTGGTTCCTCACTGACACTAAGAAAGTGGATCAGTCCAGTTCTGAAGTCTTTACACTGGTTCCTCACTGACACTAAGAAAGTGGATCACTCCTGTTCTGAAGTCTTTACACTGGTTCCTCACTGACACTAAGAAAGTGGATCAGTCCAGTTCTGAAGTCTTTACACTGGTTCCTCACTGACACTAAGAAAGTGGATCAGTCCAGTTCTGAAGTCTTTACACTGGTTCCTCACTGACACTAAGAAAGTGGATCAGTCCAGTTCTGAAGTCTTTACACTGGTTCCTCAACACTCAGAAAGTGGATCAGTCCTGTTCTGAAGTCTTTACACTGGTTCCTCAACACTCAGAAAGTGGATCAGTCCAGTTCTGAAGTCTTTACACTGGTTCCTCACTACACTCAGAAAGTGGATCAGTCCAGTTCTGAAGTCTTTACACTGGTTCCTCACTAACACTAAGAAAGTGGATCAGTCCTGTTCTGAAGTCTTACACTGGTTCCTCACTGACACTAAGAAAGTGGATCAGTCCAGTTCTGAAGTCTTTACACTGGTTCCTCACTGACACTAAGAAAGTGGATCAGTCCATGTTCTGAAGTCTTTACACTGGTTCCTCACTACACTAAGAAAGTGGATCAGTCCAGTTCTGAAGTCTTACACTGGTTCCTCACTGACACTAAGAAAGTGGATCAGTCCAGTTCTGAAGTCTTTACACTGGTTCCTCACTGACACTAAGAAAGTGGATCAGTCCTGTTTCTGAAGTCTTTACACTGGTTCCTCACTGACACTAAGAAAGTGGATCAGTCCAGTTCTGAAGTCTTTACACTGGTTTCCTCACTGACACTAAGAAAGTGGATCAGTCCTGTTCTGAAGTCTTTACACTGGTTCCTCACTAACACTAAGAAAGTGGATCAGTCCAGTTCTGAAGTCTTACACTGGTTCCTCACTGACACTAAGAAAGTGGATCAGTCCAGTTCTGAAGTCTTTACACTGGTTCCTCACTAACACTAAGAAAGTGGATCAGTCCCTGTTCTGAAGTCTTTACACTGGTTCCTCACTGACACTAAGAAAGTGGATCAGTCCTGTTCTGAAGTCTTTACACTGGTTCCTCACTGACACTAAGAAAGTGGATCAGTCCAGTTCTGAAGTCTTTACACTGGTTCCTCACTGACACTAAGAAAGTGGATCAGTCCAGTTCTGAAGTCTTTACACTGGTTCCTCACTGACACTAAGAAAGTGGATCAGTCCAGTTCTGAAGTCTTTACACTGGTTCCTCACTGACACTAAGAAAGTGGATCAGTCCTGTTCTGAAGTCTTTACACTGGTTCCTCACTGACACTAAGAAAGTGGATCAGTCCTGTTCTGAAGTCTTTACACTGGTTCCTCACTGACACTAAGAAAGTGGATCAGTCCTGTTCTGAAGTCTTTACACTGGTTCCTCACTGACACTAAGAAAGTGGATCAGTCCAGTTCTGAAGTCTTTACACTGGTTCCTCACTGACACTAAGAAAGTGGATCACTCCTGTTCTGAAGTCTTTACACTGGTTCCTCACTGACACTAAGAAAGTGGATCAGTCCAGTTCTGAAGTCTTTACACTGGTTCCTCACTGACACTAAGAAAGTGGATCAGTCCAGTTCTGAAGTCTTTACACTGGTTCCTCACTGACACTAAGAAAGTGGATCAGTCCAGTTCTGAAGTCTTTACACTGGTTCCTCACTGACACTAAGAAAGTGGATCAGTCCAGTTCTGAAGTATTTACACTGGTTCCTCACTGACACTAAGAAAGTGGATCAGTCCAGTTCTGAAGTCTTTACACTGGTTCCTCACTGACACTAAGAAAGTGGATCAGTCCTGTTCTGAAGTCTTTACACTGGTTCCTCACTGACACTAAGAAAGTGGATCAGTCCAGTTCTGAGGTCTTTACACTGGTTCCTCACTGACACTAAGAAAGTGGATCAGTCCTGTTCTGAAGTCTTTACACTGGTTCCTCACTGACACTAAGAAAGTGGATCAGTCCTGTTCTGAAGTCTTTACACTGGTTCCTCACTGACACTAAGAAAGTGGATCAGTCCTGTTCTGAAGTCTTTACACTGGTTCCTCACTGACACTAAGAAAGTGGATCAGTCCTGTTCTGAAGTCTTTACACTGGTTCCTCACTGACACTAAGAAAGTGGATCAGTCCAGTTCTGAAGTCTTTACACTGGTTCCTCACTGACACTAAGAAAGTGGATCAGTCCTGTTCTGAAGTCTTTACACTGGTTCCTCACTGACACTAAGAAAGTGGATCAGTCCTGTTCTGAAGTCTTTACACTGGTTCCTCACTGACACTAAGAAAGTGGATCAGTCCTGTTCTGAAGTCTTTACACTGGTTCCTCACTGACACTAAGAAAGTGGATCAGTCCTGTTCTGAAGTCTTTACACTGGTTCCTCACTGACACTAAGAAAGTGGATCAGTCCTGTTCTGAAGTCTTTACACTGGTTCCTCACTGACACTAAGAAAGTGGATCAGTCCTGTTGCCTTGTCTTGCCTTGCCTAAAGAAGCAGGAAATCAAAAGGAAGTCACCTTGTGGAAAACCTGAGAGAGAGAAAGAGTTTGAGCTCCATACTGTTTCAGAGAGAATCCTTCATGTGGTTTGGAACATGATATGGAGTTTAGTCACGGCAGCATTTAGCTGAGTTCCTGCTGGGAGAGTTCTGATCAGGCATTAGCTCTGCCTCCGCCAAACTTAACTGACCCAGAATCAGCGTTTCACTTCTAAAATGAATGATCTGTTTGGTATTTTGAGCAGAACACTTCAGAGACATGTTTTTTATGTATTTTTATACATCTGAGAAAAATGATATGAGACCTTTAAAGTGGACCTATCATGCTATATTTAAATGATATATTGTAGGGCCATACCTATATAAGGTATATTTATACGTTTCTGTTTTCAAAATACCAAACAGATCATGCATTTTAGCCATGCCTCATTTCGCTCTATGTGCTGTTTGCTGTCTACGGGTCTGATTCTGCTGACCACGCCCCCCTGCAGGAGAGGGGAGACGTGCTCTGATCAGCTGCTGGGCTGTCAGAAGAGGGGGAGAAAAAGAGATCTCCGTCCTCCGTGTTTTATTATATAGAGTCGTTATTCATTTGTTTTAAAGCTCAATAAATAACAAAGAAGACCTTTGACCGGCACTTTTCTCATTTTGTCCGGAAGATTTAAACTTTAACGGACATCTTGACCGGCGAAAGAAAGTGAAACTGAAACTCTGCCGCACGGTCCCCTGGTTCCTTGGAAGAGGCGGAGAGGTGGGTGTTTGTCATCTGCTGGTGGACTAACCGGAGAGAATTACAGTGCTTGCCTCGACGGGGAGGGATTGCATTGAATTAAAGCAGCGGGAGCAAACGCTTGCCTCGGGGAGGGAGAAAGAAAGCCACAGCGGAGAATAAACAGAAGGGTAACCATGGTAACTATGGGCGGGAAGTCTTCTTCGCTGCTTTTGTGGCAGACTACAGCGCCACTTACAGGCCTGGCATATGTACTACAGCGTCTCCAGCGCTTTCGAGCGGCAATGGCCGGCCGTGGCCCAACCCCACATTCCCCTGATAGGTGGAGAGTTGGCCCAATAGCCGTAGCGCCACCGTCCTGACGTCAGGACAGTGTTCAAATCTGGATCAGTTTTGATCAGATCCGTTGCAGCCCCTTTTTTAGAGATTTGGGTATGGAGGAAAATAGAGAGGGTTGTGTTTTCTGACACTTGGTGAGTTCCCTGGAACACCGGGGACACATATTCATGTAGAAAAGACGTACACAAGTGCATTTTGCATGATAGGTCCCCTTTAAGTCAAATGTTGTTGCCAATTAATTCCTTGTCATGAATTCTTAAATGTAATGTAATATAATGTTACCCCCACTCATCCTGTAAAAATTATAAAAAAAGAAACTGAAGCCGGAGACGAGTGATATTTTTCAACATGTTGCGATTTTCAGAAAAAAGTCAAAATGTTGAGATTTTGAGGAGGAGAACCACCGGAGAACCACCGGAGAACCACATGATAATAACACATGGCATTAATAGAGACGTGTGTTATGGTGTTATCATTATAATCACGGGGGGGGGCACAGGGGACCACCGATGCCCCCCCCTCTAGATCCGCCCATGCGCATAGACTTTCTCTCCATAGAGTTTCACTGAGTTTACATCCGGGTTTTTTCCCTAGGCAATGGGAGTCGCAGCACCGCCGTTCCTTAGGCAAAGTGAAATAAATTCGCCGCACCGACACAAAAAGCAGTCCGCTCCCCGAACACAGCCCCTCCGCGCCCCCCGCCGCTCATCGGCTCCTTTTAACCTGTTTTAACTTTAACCCGTGCTAACATCAAACGCTTTGTCCCGGGTGAGCGCGCGCCAGGTGCACGTGAGAGTAGTTTGTGTGCCCCCTTCCTCGAGCTCCGCGGCGCAGGGATCTGAGCGGTGATGCGGCTGAGAGCTGAATGAGATTGAAGAAGAGTTCTTCTTGTTTTGTAGCTTCTCTGTTTTCTTTTTTAAAACACCTTTAAGCTAAACTACATTTATAATAGAGCCTCTGAATAAAGCTCCGCGGGGAAGGAGTGATCCGGCCTGTCTGCTCATGCTGTGCTGCCATCGTGGATCGGATTGTTATATATATTTAATTAATCTGGAGGATCTGCTCAGTAAGTGCTCATTGGGGCTGTTTTTAGATAACTTTAATGATGTGTGTTGTTCCCCCGCGGGATGTGTGTGAGGGTGTGTGAGGGTGTGTGAGAGTGTGTGTGTGTTTCAGGGTGTTTCGGGGTGTTTCGCTGTGTTTGCGGTGTGTTTCTTCTCCAGGAGTTGGTATTGTGGAGGACAAGGGGCCGAGATAACTTAGACCCTCAGTGTTTAAAACATGGCGTCTTATATCCCTGCTCTCTTTTATATCCATTTCCCTCTCTTTCTGCCCCTCTTACGTCACCGCAGAACCCTACGTGAGGCTATTTGGATGTGACTTAGCTTAGCTTGGTTAGCATTAGCAGCGAGGAGCTAACCGCTAGCATTAGCAGCTAACGTTATTTATCCACTTGTTCTCTCTCTCTCTCTCTGTGTCTCTCTCTCCCCCTCTCTCTCTCTGTGTGAGTGATGCTCGCTCTATCACTAGTCCTCCATGAGTCCTGCAGCATGCACTGAGAGCTAACTTATTACATATAGCACACAGTAGTAATAATAGAAGTTAAAGACAAGTAAGTACATCATCATGGCTAAAAGAGGAGAAAATGACAGCTAAAAAAGGCAGAAACCATTACAGTGTTAGAGCTGAAGTGGTATAGCAGGTAAACAAGCCATGCACTGACAGAGCTGACTTATTAGATATAGATATTAGTGGTAGAATAATGCTAGATAAAGACAAACGCATGGTAACCCTGAGGAGCAGCAGCTGGAGTGATATCTGAGAGACTTCTTAGGACTTTGATTCAACCTGTACATTTCATTAAACCCCACTCCTTGCTCACTTGGTGTCATTATATACTACCTTTATGTAGCTGTCCTTTAGCCCGTCTTTCACTATCCTTTACGGTCAACTTGTGTTTGACTTCTTTCTTATTTTCTATTTGTTTATTTTCTCCCCTTTTTAGTTTTTAAATTATGTGCAATGCCTGGTTTTAATGCTGCTGTGATGCATGTGTCTCTGCATCCTGCTCAGTGTCCCCTGCTGGGTTAGTGTGTGTTTGTGGGCTTGATCTGAACATCCAGACGACCTCCAACAGAAAGGGTTTGAAACATTTATTAAACCACAGAAACTAAAACAACTCTTCCAGGATCTGAACTGTGAAGCACTTTGATCTGGATACCCTCCATTTTAGTTTCATTTACCAGTGTAGAGTAACTGAGTATCAGAGGTAGAGAGTAACTGAGTATCAGAGGTAGAGAGTAACTGAGTATCAGAGGTAGAGAGTAACTGAGTATCAGGTAGAGAGTAACTGAGTATCAGAGGTAGAGAGTAACTGAGTATCAGAGGTAGAGAGTAACTGAGTATCAGAGGTAGAGAGTAACTGAGTATCAGAGGTAGAGAGTAACTGAGTATCAGGTAGAGAGTAACTGAGTATCAGGTAGAGAGTAACTGAGTATCAGAGAGTAACTGAGTATCAGAGGTAGAGAGTAACTGAGTATCAGGTAGAGAGTAACTGAGTATCAGAGAGTAACTGAGTATCAGAGAGTAACTGAGTATCAGAGGTAGAGAGTAACTGAGTATCAGGTAGAGAGTAACTGAGTATCAGAGAGTAACTGAGTATCAGAGAGTAACTGAGTATCAGAGGTAGAGAGTAACTGAGTATCAGAGGTAGAGAGTAACTGAGTATCAGAGGTAGAGAGTAACTGAGTATCAGGTAGAGAGTAACTGAGTATCAGAGGTAGAGAGTAACTGAGTATCAGAGGTAGAGAGTAACTGAGTATCAGAGGTAGAGAGTAACTGAGTATCAGAGGTAGAGAGTAACTGAGTATCAGGTAGAGAGTAACTGAGTATCAGAGGTAGAGAGTAACTGAGTATCAGAGGTAGAGAGTAACTGAGTATCAGGTAGAGAGTAACTGAGTATCAGAGGTAGAGAGTAACTGAGTATCAGGTAGAGAGTAACTGAGTATCAGAGAGTAACTGAGTATCAGAGAGTAACTGAGTATCAGAGGTAGAGAGTAACTGAGTATCAGAGGTAGAGAGTAACTGAGTATCAGAGGTAGAGAGTAACTGAGTATCAGAGGTAGAGAGTAACTGAGTATCAGAGGTAGAGAGTAACTGAGTATCAGAGGTAGAGAGTAACTGAGTATCAGAGAGTAACTGAGTATCAGGTAGAGAGTAACTGAGTATCAGAGGTAGAGAGTAACTGAGTATCAGAGAGTAACTGAGTATCAGGTAGAGAGTAACTGAGTATCAGGTAGAGAGTAACTGAGTATCAGAGGTAGAGAGTAACTGAGTATCAGAGGTAGAGAGTAACTGAGTATCAGGTAGAGAGTAACTGAGTATCAGAGGTAGAGAGTAACTGAGTATCAGGTAGAGAGTAACTGAGTATCAGAGGTAGAGAGTAACTGAGTATCAGGTAGAGAGTAACTGAGTATCAGAGGTAGAGAGTAACTGAGTATCAGGTAGAGAGTAACTGAGTATCAGAGGTAGAGAGTAACTGAGTATCAGAGGTAGAGAGTAACTGAGTATCAGGTAGAGAGTAACTGAGTATCAGAGGTTAGAGAGTAACTGAGTATCAGAGGGTAGAGAGTAACTGAGTATCAGAGGTTAGAGAGTAACTGAGTATCAGGTAGAGAGTAACTGAGTATCAGAGGTAGAGAGTAACTGAGTATCAGAGGTAGAGAGTAACTGAGTATCAGGTAGAGAGTAACTGAGTATCAGAGGTAGAGAGTAACTGAGTATCAGAGGTAGAGAGTAACTGAGTATCAGAGGTAGAGAGTAACTGAGTATCAGGTAGAGAGTAACTGAGTATCAGAGAGTAACTGAGTATCAGGTAGAGAGTAACTGAGTATCAGGTAGAGAGTAACTGAGTATCAGAGGTAGAGAGTAAACTGAGTATCAGAGGTTAGAGAGTAACTGAGTATCAGAGAGTAACTAGAGTATCAGAGTAGAGAGAGTAACTGAGTATCAGAGGTAGAGAGTAACTGAGTATCAGAGGTAGAGAGTAACTGAGTATCAGAGAGTAACTGAGTATCAGGTAGAGAGTAACTGAGTATCAGGTAGAGAGTAACTGAGTATCAGAGGTAGAGAGTAACTGAGTATCAGAGGTAGAGAGTAACTGAGTATCAGAGGTAGAGAGTAACTGAGTATCAGGTAGAGAGTAACTGAGTATCAGGTAGAGAGTAACTGAGTATCAGGTAGAGAGTAACTGAGTATCAGGTAGAGAGTAACTGAGTATCAGGTAGAGAGTAACTGAGTATCAGGTAGAGAGTAACTGAGTATCAGAGGTAGAGAGTAACTGAGTATCAGAGAGTAACTGAGTATCAGAGAGTAACTGAGTATCAGAGGTAGAGAGTAACTGAGTATCAGGTAGAGAGTAACTGAGTATCAGGTAGAGAGTAACTGAGTATCAGGTAGAGAGTAACTGAGTATCAGGTAGAGAGTAACTGAGTATCAGGTAGAGAGTAACTGAGTATCAGAGGTAGAGAGTAACTGAGTATCAGGTAGAGAGTAACTGAGTATCAGGTAGAGAGTAACTGAGTATCAGAGGTAGAGAGTAACTGAGTATCAGAGGTAGAGAGTAACTGAGTATCAGGTAGAGAGTAACTGAGTATCAGAGGTAGAGAGTAACTGAGTATCAGAGGTAGAGAGTAACTGAGTATCAGAGAGTAACTGAGTATCAGAGGTAGAGAGTAACTGAGTATCAGAGGTAGAGAGAAACTGAGTATCAGAGGTAGAGAGTAACTGAGTATCAGAGGTAGAGAGTAACTGAGTATCAGAGGTAGAGAGTAACTGAGTATCAGGTAGAGAGTAACTGAGTATCAGAGGTAGAGAGTAACTGAGTATCAGAGGTAGAGAGTAACTGAGTATCAGGTAGAGAGTAACTGAGTATCAGAGGTAGAGAGTAACTGAGTATCAGAGGTAGAGAGTAACTGAGTATCAGAGAGTAACTGAGTATCAGAGGTAGAGAGTAACTGAGTATCAGAGAGTAACTGAGTATCAGAGGTAGAGAGTAACTGAGTATCAGAGGTAGAGAGTAACTGAGTATCAGAGGTAGAGAGTAACTGAGTATCAGAGGTAGAGAGTAACTGAGTATCAGGTAGAGAGAAACTGAGTATCAGAGGTAGAGAGTAACTGAGTATCAGAGGTAGAGAGTAACTGAGTATCAGAGGTAGAGAGTAACTGAGTATCAGAGGTAGAGAGTAACTGAGTATCAGAGGTAGAGAGTAACTGAGTATCAGAGGTAGAGAGTAACTGAGTATCAGAGGTAGAGAGTAACTGAGTATCAGAGGTAGAGAGTAACTGAGTATCAGAGGTAGAGAGTAACTGAGTATCAGAGGTAGAGAGTAACTGAGTATCAGGTAGAGAGTAACTGAGTATCAGGTAGAGAGTAACTGAGTATCAGAGGTAGAGAGTAACTGAGTATCAGAGGTAGAGAGTAACTGAGTATCAGAGGTAGAGAGTAACTGAGTATCAGGTAGAGAGTAACTGAGTATCAGGTAGAGAGTAACTGAGTATCAGAGGTAGAGAGTAACTGAGTATCAGGTAGAGAGTAACTGAGTATCAGAGGTAGAGAGTAACTGAGTATCAGAGAGTAACTGAGTATCAGGTAGAGAGAAACTGAGTATCAGAGGTAGAGAGTAACTGAGTATCAGAGAGTAACTGAGTATCAGGTAGAGAGTAACTGAGTATCAGGTAGAGAGTAACTGAGTATCAGGTAGAGAGAAACTGAGTATCAGAGAGTAACTGAGTATCAGAGAGAAACTGAGTATCAGAGGTAGAGAGTAACTGAGTATCAGAGAGTAACTGAGTATCAGAGAGTAACTGAGTATCAGAGGTAGAGAGTAACTGAGTATCAGAGGTAGAGAGTAACTGAGTATCAGAGGTAGAGAGTAACTGAGTATCAGAGGTAGAGAGTAACTGAGTATCAGGTAGAGAGTAACTGAGTATCAGAGGTAGAGAGTAACTGAGTATCAGAGAGTAACTGAGTATCAGGTAGAGAGTAACTGAGTATCAGGTAGAGAGTAACTGAGTATCAGGTAGAGAGTAACTGAGTATCAGAGGTAGAGAGTAACTGAGTATCAGAGGTAGAGAGTAACTGAGTATCAGAGGTAGAGAGTAACTGAGTATCAGAGGTAGAGAGTAACTGAGTATCAGAGGTAGAGAGTAACTGAGTATCAGGTAGAGAGTAACTGAGTATCAGAGGTAGAGAGTAACTGAGTATCAGGTAGAGAGTAACTGAGTATCAGAGGTAGAGAGTAACTGAGTATCAGAGGTAGAGAGTAACTGAGTATCAGGTAGAGAGTAACTGAGTATCAGAGAGTAACTGAGTATCAGAGGTAGAGAGTAACTGAGTATCAGAGGTAGAGAGTAACTGAGTATCAGGTAGAGAGTAACTGAGTATCAGAGAGTAACTGAGTATCAGAGGTAGAGAGTAACTGAGTATCAGAGGTAGAGAGTAACTGAGTATCAGGTAGAGAGAAACTGAGTATCAGAGAGTAACTGAGTATCAGAGGTAGAGAGTAACTGAGTATCAGAGGTAGAGAGTAACTGAGTATCAGAGGTAGAGAGTAACTGAGTATCAGAGGTAGAGAGTAACTGAGTATCAGAGGTAGAGAGTAACTGAGTATCAGAGGTAGAGAGTAACTGAGTATCAGAGGTAGAGAGTAACTGAGTATCAGAGGTAGAGAGAAACTGAGTATCAGAGAGTAACTGAGTATCAGAGGTAGAGAGTAACTGAGTATCAGAGGTAGAGAGTAACTGAGTATCAGGTAGAGAGTAACTGAGTATCAGGTAGAGAGTAACTGAGTATCAGAGGTAGAGAGTAACTGAGTATCAGAGAGTAACTGAGTATCAGGTAGAGAGTAACTGAGTATCAGAGGTAGAGAGTAACTGAGTATCAGAGAGTAACTGAGTATCAGAGGTAGAGAGTAACTGAGTATCAGGTAGAGAGTAACTGAGTATCAGGTAGAGAGTAACTGAGTATCAGAGGTAGAGAGTAACTGAGTATCAGGTAGAGAGTAACTGAGTATCAGAGAGTAACTGAGTATCAGAGAGTAACTGAGTATCAGAGGTAGAGAGTAACTGAGTATCAGAGGTAGAGAGTAACTGAGTATCAGAGGTAGAGAGTAACTGAGTATCAGAGGTAGAGAGTAACTGAGTATCAGAGGTAGAGAGTAACTGAGTATCAGAGGTAGAGAGTAACTGAGTATCAGAGGTAGAGAGAAACTGAGTATCAGAGGTAGAGAGTAACTGAGTATCAGAGGTAGAGAGTAACTGAGTATCAGAGGTAGAGAGTAACTGAGTATCAGAGGTAGAGAGTAACTGAGTATCAGAGGTAGAGAGTAACTGAGTATCAGAGGTAGAGAGAAACTGAGTATCAGAGGTAGAGAGTAACTGAGTATCAGAGGTAGAGAGTAACTGAGTATCAGAGGTAGAGAGTAACTGAGTATCAGAGGTAGAGAGTAAATGAGTATCAGAGGTAGAGAGTAACTGAGTATCAGAGGTAGAGAGTAACTGAGTATCAGAGGTAGAGAGTAACTGAGTATCAGAGGTAGAGAGTAACTGAGTATCAGAGGTAGAGAGTAACTGAGTATCAGAGGTAGAGAGAAACTGAGTATCAGAGAGTAACTGAGTATCAGAGAGTAACTGAGTATCAGAGGTAGAGAGTAACTGAGTATCAGAGAGTAACTGAGTATCAGAGGTAGAGAGTAACTGAGTATCAGAGGTAGAGAGAGAGAGAGAGAGAGAGATATTGATTGATTGATTGATTGCCGTGTTATTCTCCAAAGTGAATGTAAACTTGAATAATGTACATCATTTGAATGTAATAATGAAGTTGTTTGTGGAAGCTCCAGAGAATGAGCATTAACTGAGTTTTAAACATCACTTTAAATGGAAGATTTAAAGTGATGTTTAAATCTTCCATTTAGGCCCCGCCCACTCGATCGGTATCGGCCGATACTGATTCCGGCGATCGGCCCCAAAGTTGGCGATCGGAGCATCCCTAACCAGTGGTAGAGAGTAAAGAAGGACTCAAGTACTCGGTTGTATTCATGCATACTAAATATAAGTTGTGTAACTAAGTTAATTACTTGAGTACATGTACTCAGTTACACTGTTTGTTTGCAGTGTAGTACATGTGTTGTTGCTTTTCAGTCATTGAGTATAAGTACATTTACATAAGTACTGTACTTCAGTGTCCGTTGAGGTATTTGTACTTAACATAAGTAATCTTATTTGCATTTATACTGCATGTTATTGACAGCTGGAGGTACTTTTTGTTGTTTAAAAACCCAATATATTATTATTGATGTATTCAAAGTAGGGCTCTGTTTGTGCACAGAGTGTCTCTGTGTGAAGAGGCGTCACTCTGCAGAGTCATCCCAAACACTGCGTATCAGAACTACGCCGTGTACATGTTCATCAGATCAGTGAACAGCAGGATCAATACTTCATCTGTATCACCCCTTATTGTGACGTCCAGACAGAGTTTAAATACCAACCAACTGGATATTGTAATGAAATGATAGTAGCTTTTTTTTGTGTTGTGTTTCTGCTAGGGCTGTGCAATTAATCGCAATTACGATTTTGGCCTGCCACAATTACGAAAACAACATAATCGAAAAAAACAATTATTTAGCTTTGCTTGGTTGTGACCGTGCAACATATTTGATCTAATTAATTTTAGTCTAATTTATTTGTATTTATCATATTTATATATGTTTAGTAGCTTGTTAAAGTGCGCTCCTAAATATGTGTTGATCTTGTTTATTGGTATTTATTATTTTGATATTATTTATTTAAATGTAAATATAAATGTATAATTTATTTAATTTATTTTTGTATTGGTTTTTCAGTTGAATTTTACGTTCAGGGAAATCAATAGTTAAAAAGATACTGTTCAAATTATTATTTGTATTTGTTTTAAAGTTCAATAAATGGATGTTTTCAAAGTCAATGAATAATCGTATTTAATAATCGTGATATCAATTATTGACCCAAATAATCGTGACTATGATTTTTGCCATAATCGCACAGCCCTAGCTTCTGATATTTATTGTAATATTTTCTTATGAAGTTCCATGCAGTTTGTGACGGTGCGTTTGTTTTGCTCACAGGGCAGCACAGAGGGGTGGAGTCAGTCCCACAGCCAGGAGGTGAGCTTCATTATTATCATCTACCCTCACCTTCATCATTATCATCTACCCTCACCTTCATCATTATCATCTACCCTCACCTTCATCATTATCATCTACCCTCACCTTCATCATTATCATCTACCCTCACCTTCATCATTATCATCTACCCTCACCTTCATCATTATCATCTACCCTCACCTTCATCACATTTCATCATGTTCTGAAATATCTACTATTCTATATATGTTTGAAATCTGAAAGTACTCAGATCTTGTAGTAGAGTAAAAGTAGAAGTACTCAGATCTTGTACTTGAGTAAAAGTAGAAGTACTCAGATCTTGTACTTGAGTAAAAGTAGAAGTACTCAGATCTTGTACTTGAGTAAAAGTAGAAGTACTCAGGTCTTGTAGTAGAGTAAAAGTGGAAGTACTCAGATCTTGTACTTGAGTAAAAGTAGAAGTACTCAGATCTTGTACTTGAGTAAAAGTAGAAGTACTCAGATCTTGTACTTGAGTAAAAGTAGAAGTACTCAGATCTTGTACTTGAGTAAAAGTAGAAGTACTCAGGTCTTCAGTAAAAGTAGAAGTACTCAGATCTTGTACTTGAGTAAAAGTAGAAGTACTCAGGTATTGTACTTGAGTAAAAGTAGAAGTACTCGGGTCTTGTACTTGAGTAAAAGTAGAAGTACTCAGGTCTTCAGTAAAAGTAGAAGTACTCAGATCTTGTACTTGAGTAAAAGTAGAAGTACTCAGGTATTGTACTTGAGTAAAAGTAGAAGTACTCAGATCTTGTAGTAGAGTAAAAGTGGAAGTACTCAGATCTTGTACTTGAGTAAAAGTAGAAGTACTCAGATCTTGTACTTGAGTAAAAGTAGAAGTACTCAGGTCTTCAGTAAAAGTAGAAGTACTCAGATCTTGTACTTGAGTAAAAGTAGAAGTACTCAGGTATTGTACTTGAGTAAAAGTAGAAGTACTCGGGTCTTGTACTTGAGTAAAAGTAGAAGTACTCAGGTCTTCAGTAAAAGTAGAAGTACTCAGATCTTGTACTTGAGTAAAAGTAGAAGTACTCAGGTATTGTACTTGAGTAAAAGTAGAAGTACTCAGGTCTTCAGTAAAAGTAGAAGTACTCAGATCTTGTACTTGAGTAAAAGTAGAAGTACTCGTGTCTTGTACTTGAGTAAAAGTAGAAGTACTCAGGTCTTCAGTAAAAGTAGAAGTACTCAGATCTTGTACTTGAGTAAAAGTAGAAGTACTCAGATCTTGTACTTGAGTAAAAGTAGAAGTACTCGGATCTTGTACTTGAGTAAAAGTAGAAGTACTCAGATCTTGAGTAAAAGTAGAAGTACTCAGATCTTGTACTTGAGTAAAAGTAGAAGTACTCAGATCTTGTAGTAAAAGTGGAAGTACTCAGATCTTCAGTAAAAGTAGAAGTACTCAGATCTTGTATTTGAGTAAAAGTAGAAGTACTCGGGTCTTGTACTTGAGTAAAAGTAGAAGTACTCGGGTCTTGTACTTGAGTAAAAGTAGAAGTACTCGGGTCTTGTACGTGAGTAAAAGTAGAAGTACTCGGGTCTTGTACTTGAGTAAAAGTAGAAGTACTCGGGTCTTGTACTTGAGTAAAAGTAGAAGTACTCGGATCTTGTACTTGAGTAAAAGTAGAAGTACTCGGATCTTGTACTTGAGTAAAAGTAGAAGTACTCGGATCTTGTACTTGAGTAAAAGTAGAAGTACTCGGATCTTGTACTTGAGTAAAAGTAGAAGTACTCGGATCTTGTACTTGAGTAAAAGTAGAAGTACTCGGATCTTGTACTTGAGTAAAAGTAGAAGTACTCGGATCTTTGTACTTGAGTAAAAGTAGAAGTACTCGGATCTTGTACTTGAGTAAAAGTAGAAGTACTCGGATCTTGTACTTGAGTAAAAGTAGAAGTACTCGGATCTTGTACTTGAGTAAAAGTAGAATTACTCGGATCTTGTACTTGAGTAAAAGTAGAAGTACTCAGATCTTGTAGTAAAAGTGGAAGTACTCAGATCTTCAGTAAAAGTAGAAGTACTCAGGTCTTGTACTTGAGTAAAAGTAGAAGTACTCAGGTCTTGTACTTGAGTAAAAGTAGAAGTACTCAGGTCTTGTACTTGAGTAAAAGTAGAAGTACTCGGATCTTGTACTTGAGTAAAAGTAGAAGTACTCAGATCTTGTTCTTGAGTAAAAGTAGAAGTACTCAGATCTTGTACTTGAGTAAAAGTAGAAGTACTCAGATCTTGTACTTGAGTAAAAGTAGAAGTACTCAGATCTTCAGTAAAAGTAGAAGTACTCAGATCTTGTAGTAGAGTAAAGTAGAAGTACTCAGATCTTCAGTAAAAGTAGAAATACTCAGATCTTGTACTTGAGTAAAAGTAGAAGTACTCAGATCTTGTACTTGAGTAAAAGTAGAAGTACTCAGATCTTGTACTTGTAGTAAAAGTAGAAGTACTCAGATCTTGTACTTGAGTAAAAGTAGAAGTACTCAGATCTTCAGTAAAAGTAGAAGTACTCAGATCTTGTTCTTGAGTAAAAGTAGAAGTACTCAGATCTTGTACTTGTAGGAATAGTCAACAGAGAGAATAACGGAAAAGTAATGTCAACAACAACAACAGTGATAACAACAATAAGAAACAGAAGTGTGAAGGAGTTCAACTTGTTGTTGTTTATCTCTTGCACAGCTAAGGGACCCTGCGATCTAAATACTCGTGTAGTACCTGAATATCAGAGCAGTACTCGTGTAGTATCTGAATATCAGAGCAGTACTCGTGTAGTATCTGAATATCAGAGCAGTACTCGTGTAGTATCTGAATATCAGAGCAGTACTCGTGCAGTATCTGAATATCAGAGCAGTACTCGTGTAGTATCTGAATATCAGAGCAGTACTCGTGTAGTATCTGAATATCAGAGCAGTACTCGTGTAGTATCTGAATATCAGAGCAGTACTCGTGCAGTATCTGAATATCAGAGCAGTACTCGTGCAGTATCTGAATATCAGAGCAGTACTCGTGTAGTATCTGAATATCAGAGCAGTACTCGTGCAGTATCTGAATATCAGAGCAGTACTCGTGTAGTATCTGAATATCAGAGCAGTACTCGTGTAGTATCTGAATATCAGAGCAGTACTCGTGCAGTATCTGAATATCAGAGCAGTACTCGTGTAGTATCTGAATATCAGAGCAGTACTCGTGCAGTATCTGAATATCAGTGCAGTACTCGTGTAGTATCTGAATATCAGAGCAGTACTCGTGTAGTATATTCTGAATATCAGAGCAGTACTCGTGTAGTATCTGAATATCAGAGCAGTACTCGTGTAGTATCTGAATATCAGAGCAGTACTCGTGTAGTATCTGAATATCAGAGCAGTACTCGTGTAGTATCTGAATATCAGAGCAGTACTCGTGTAGTATCTGAATATCAGAGCAGTACTCGTGTAGTATCTGAATATCAGAGCAGTACTCGTGTAGTATCTGAATATCAGAGCAGTACTCGTGTAGTATCTGAATATCAGAGCAGTACTCGTGTAGTATCTGAATATCAGAGCAGTACTCGTGTAGTATCTGAATATCAGTGCAGTACTCGTGTAGTATCTGAATATCAGAGCAGTACTCGTGTAGTATCTGAATATCAGAGCAGTACTCGTGTAGTATCTGAATATCAGAGCAGTACTCGTGTAGTATCTGAATATCAGAGCAGTACTCGTGCAGTATCTGAATATCAGAGCAGTACTCGTGTAGTATCTGAATATCAGAGCAGTACTCGTGTAGTATCTGAATATCAGAGCAGTACTCCATGAGCTCATAATAATACGTGTTGATGTGTTTCTCGTTCCAGCGGCACTTTAATGCTTCAGCTGGATGGTCTTCCTACTGGAGACGCTGTTAAGGTAAACTTAGATACACACTGTGTATATCATGTCTCTACTGGAGACGCTGTTAAGGTAAACTTAGATACATACTGTGTATATCATGTCTCTACTGGAGACGCTGTTAAGGTAAACTAAGATACACACTGTGTATATCATGTCTCTACTGGAGACGCTGTTAAGGTAAACTTAGATACATACTGTGTATATCATGTCTCTACTGGAGACGCTGTTAAGGTAAACTAAGATACACACTGTGTATATCATGTCTCTACTGGAGACGCTGTTAAGGTAAACTTAGATACATACTGTGTATATCATGTCTCTACTGGAGACGCTGTTAAGGTAAACTTAGATACATACTGTGTATATCATGTCTCTACTGGAGACGCTGTTAAGGTAAACTTAGATACATACTGTGTATATCATGTCTCTACTGGAGACGCTGTTAAGGTAAACTAAGATACATACTGTGTATATCATGTCTCTACTGGAGACGCTGTTAAGGTAAACTTAGATACACACTGTGTATATCATGTCTCTACTGGAGACGCTGTTAAGGTAAACTAAGATACATACTGTGTATATCATGTCTCTACTGGAGACGCTGTTAAGGTAAACTTAGATACATACTGTGTATATCATGTCTCTACTGGAGACGCTGTTAAGGTAAACTTAGATACATACTGTGTATATCATGTCTCTACTGGAGACGCTGTTAAGGTAAACTTAGATACATACTGTGTATATCATGTCTCTACTGGAGACGCTGTTAAGGTAAACTTAGATACATACTGTGTATATCATGTCTCTACTGGAGACGCTGTTAAGGTAAACTTAGATACATACTGTGTATATCATGTCTCTACTGGAGACGCTGTTAAGGTAAACTAAGATACACACTGTGTATATCATGTCTCTACTGGAGACGCTGTTAAGGTAAACTTAGATACATACTGTGTATATCATGTCTCTACTGGAGACGCTGTTAAGGTAAACTAAGATACACACTGTGTATATCATGTCTCTACTGGAGACGCTGTTAAGGTAAACTTAGATACATACTGTGTATATCATGTCTCTACTGGAGACGCTGTTAAGGTAAACTAAGATACACACTGTGTATATCATGTCTCTACTGGAGACGCTGTTAAGGTAAACTTAGATACATACTGTGTATATCATGTCTCTACTGGAGACGCTGTTAAGGTAAACTAAGATACATACTGTGTATATCATGTCTCTACTGGAGACGCCGTTAAGGTAAACTTAGATACATACTGTGTATATCATGTCTCTACTGGAGACGCCGTTAAGGTAAACTTAGATACATACTGTGTATATCATGTCTCTACTGGAGACGCCGTTAAGGTAAACTTAGATACATACTGTGTATATCATGTCTCTACTGGAGACGCTGTTAAGGTAAACTAAGATACATACTGTGTATATCATGTCTCTACTGGAGACGCTGTTAAGGTAAACTTAGATACATACTGTGTATATCATGTCTCTACTGGAGACGCTGTTAAGGTAAACTAAGATACATACTGTGTATATCATGTCTCTACTGGAGACGCTGTTAAGGTAAACTTAGATACATACTGTGTATATCATGTCTCTACTGGAGACGCTGTTAAGGTAAACTAAGATACACACTGTGTATATCATGTCTCTACTGGAGACGCCGTTAAGGTAAACTTAGATACACACTGTGTATATCATGTCTCTACTGGAGACGCTGTTAAGGTAAACTTAGATACACACTGTGTATATCATGTCTCTACTGGAGACGCCGTTAAGGTAAACTTAGATACATACTGTGTATATCATGTCTCTACTGGAGACGCTGTTAAGGTAAACTAAGATACATACTGTGTATATCATGTCTCTACTGGAGACGCTGTTAAGGTAAACTTAGATACACACTGTGTATATCATGTCTCTACTGGAGACGCTGTTAAGGTAAACTAAGATACATACTGTGTATATCATGTCTCTACTGGAGACGCTGTTAAGGTAAACTAAGATACATACTGTGTATATCATGTCTCTACTGGAGACGCTGTTAAGGTAAACTAAGATACACACTGTGTATATCATGTCTCTACTGGAGACGCTGTTAAGGTAAACTTAGATACATACTGTGTATATCATGTCTCTACTGGAGACGCTGTTAAGGTAAACTTAGATACACACTGTGTATATCATGTCTCTACTGGAGACGCTGTTAAGGTAAACTAAGATACATACTGTGTATATCATGTCTCTACTGGAGACGCTGTTAAGGTAAACTAAGATACATACTGTGTATATCATGTCTCTACTGGAGACGCTGTTAAGGTAAACTAAGATACACACTGTGTATATCATGTCTCTACTGGAGACGCTGTTAAGGTAAACTTAGATACACACTGTGTATATCATGTCTCTACTGGAGACGCTGTTAAGGTAAACTTAGATACATACTGTGTATATCATGTTTCTACTGGAGACGCTGTTAAGGTAAACTAAGATACACACTGTGTATATCATGTCTCTACTGGAGACGCTGTTAAGGTAAACTTAGATACATACTGTGTATATCATGTCTCTACTGGAGACGCTGTTAAGGTAAACTAAGATACACACTGTGTATATCATGTCTCTACTGGAGACGCTGTTAAGGTAAACTAAGATACATACTGTGTATATCATGTCTCTACTGGAGACGCTGTTAAGGTAAACTAAGATACATACTGTGTATATCATGTCTCTACTGGAGACGCTGTTAAGGTAAACTAAGATACATACTGTGTATATCATGTCTCTACTGGAGACGCTGTTAAGGTAAACTTAGATACACACTGTGTATATCATGTCTCTACTGGAGACGCTGTTAAGGTAAACTAAGATACATACTGTGTATATCATGTCTCTACTGGAGACGCTGTTAAGGTAAACTAAGATACACACTGTGTATATCATGTCTCTACTGGAGACGCTGTTAAGGTAAACTTAGATACATACTGTGTATATCATGTCTCTACTGGAGACGCTGTTAAGGTAAACTTAGATACACACTGTGTATATCATGTCTCTACTGGAGACGCTGTTAAGGTAAACTAAGATACATACTGTGTATATCATGTCTCTACTGGAGACGCTGTTAAGGTAAACTAAGATACATACTGTGTATATCATGTCTCTACTGGAGACGCTGTTAAGGTAAACTAAGATACACACTGTGTATATCATGTCTCTACTGGAGACGCTGTTAAGGTAAACTTAGATACACACTGTGTATATCATGTCTCTACTGGAGACGCTGTTAAGGTAAACTTAGATACATACTGTGTATATCATGTTTCTACTGGAGACGCTGTTAAGGTAAACTAAGATACACACTGTGTATATCATGTCTCTACTGGAGACGCTGTTAAGGTAACTTAGATACATACTGTGTATATCATGTCTCTACTGGAGACGCTGTTAAGGTAAACTAAGATACACACTGTGTATATCATGTCTCTACTGGAGACGCTGTTAAGGTAAACTAAGATACATACTGTGTATATCATGTCTCTACTGGAGACGCTGTTAAGGTAAACTAAGATACATACTGTGTATATCATGTCTCTACTGGAGACGCTGTTAAGGTAAACTAAGATACATACTGTGTATATCATGTCTCTACTGGAGACGCTGTTAAGGTAAACTAAGATACACACTGTGTATATCATGTCTCTACTGGAGACGCTGTTAAGGTAAACTTAGATACACACTGTGTATATCATGTCTCTACTGGAGACGCTGTTAAGGTAAACTTAGATACACACTGTGTATATCATGTCTCTACTGGAGACGCTGTTAAGGTAAACTTAGATACATACTGTGTATATCATGTCTCTACTGGAGACGCTGTTAAGGTAAACTTAGATACACACTGTGTATATCATGTCTCTACTGGAGACGCTGTTAAGGTAAACTAAGATACATACTGTGTATATCATGTCTCTACTGGAGACGCTGTTAAGGTAAACTTAGATACATACTGTGTATATCATGTCTCTACTGGAGACGCTGTTAAGGTAAACTAAGATACATACTGTGTATATCATGTCTCTACTGGAGACGCTGTTAAGGTAAACTTAGATACACACTGTGTATATCATGTCTCTACTGGAGACGCTGTTAAGGTAAACTAAGATACATACTGTGTATATCATGTCTCTACTGGAGCTCCTGTGACCTTGTTTGACCTTCAAGGTGAATTATGACTGTCAGCATCACACAGGAAGTCCTTATAGGGCCGTACCTCAGGCATGACGCGTGCATGTATAATGATTGTGTGTGTGTGTGCGTGTGTGTGTGCGTGCAGGCTGATCGATCAGCTGGCAGACTGACTGGATCTATGATGGAGCTGCAGACGCTACAGGAGGCTCTGAAGGTGGAGATCCAGATCCATCAGGTACACACCCGGAGCCCCGCCCTTCAGAAACAGAGCGAGGGAGAATGTGAATACGCACAGCAGTGGGCACTGAAACATGCCCATAGGCTACATTGGATAAATAACATAGGCGTTTAGTTAATAAAAGAGCACATGTTCAATGTGAAAAGTGACCGTAGATAGATTACTTCAGTTGCAATTTGGTGATATATATATATATATATATATATATATATATATATATTTAATAAAAAAAAAAAAAAAACACCTTGACTTTCAGGCAGGGCGCAGCGCCCCGTTGGCGATGCCCGTTGGGCGATGCCCGTTGGGCGATGCGCCCTGCCAACGGGGCGCATCGCCCCGCTAAGACAAGGGGAAACACTGCAGTAGCTGCTGAGCATCTGATGAGAACACCTCTTCATGTTAGTTCTGCCCTCTGGGTGCAGTTCCTCTGTGTGGCCAGCAGGTGTCACTGTGCTCTGTTCCTGACTGTCTCTCCTTCTTCTGCAGAAACTGGTGTCCCAGATGAAGCAGGACCCTCAGGTAAGACCCCCCCCATGTTACCCCCCCATGTTACCCCCCCATGTTACCCCCCCCATGTTACCCCCCCCATGTTACCCCCCCATGTTACCCCCCCCCCATGTTACCCCCCCATGTTACCCCCCCCCATGTTACCCCCCCCCCATGTTACCCCCCCATGTTACCCCCCCCCCCATGTTACCCCTCTAACGTGCTTGTTATTCTTTCAGTTATTTAAACTCATGAGAGAATCAGAGTTCAGAGCGTGACGTGTTTTTGACTCTCTTTCAGAACGCAGATCTGAAGAAGCAGCTCCACGAACTGCAGGCTAAAATCACAGCACTCAGCGAGAAGCAGGTACACACACACACGCACACACACACGCACACGCACACACGCACACGCACACACACACAGTCCTCTCAAAATTCAAAATGTTGAGAATGTTGAGATTTTTGGGATTACTTCACAGTTCAAGGCGTTGTCAGAAGACCTGATGATCTCCTCTCTTCTTCCTCCTCCTCCTCCTCTTCCTCTTTCTCCTCTTCCTCTCCTGCAGAAGAAGGTGGTGGAGCAGCTGAGGAAGGAGCTGATGAAGCAGGAGCCGGAGGGGAAGCTGTACCTCCAGACTCCTGCAGGAGGAGACGTGAAGCAGAGCCCTCAGCAGGTACACACACACACACACACACACACACACACACACACGCACACACACACACACACACACACACTAATAAAGGGATTCTGATTCTGAGCTTCAAAGAAACACACTTGCAACACCAAGCGTCTAAATCAGCACTCAACGAAAACATGCTAACGCTACATTAGCACATAAGTGGCGATAGCGATTTTTCCGACTTCACGCTATCTGCACAAAGCTGAGATTCCACAGATTCCATGGGTGTAAGTGTCATCACTGTGCGACCAGAAGTCACTGAGCTAGCAGCCAGGAGAGAGCAACACACAACTTCAGAGCCATAGCTATAAACTAGGGCTGTCAAGTTAACGCGTCAAAACAGAGCCTGCCCAGGTATATCTAAACAAGTACCCGCCTGCACAGTGGGGTAAGGCGGTCATTTTGCAGCTCGTGGTATAAAAATAGACTGGCTAGAATATGAATGTGAAAATAGTGCCATATTCTGCCTGTAGAAATGTTGGGTCAAAGATAATGCATCCAATAGCACAGATGCTTTCACCACGAATGGCTACTAAAAGATCTCACATCCCAAGCTCATCAACGAGCTGATGTTGCAGCTGAAATGTTCTCCAGGTCTCAAAGTCAACCTCGCATGATGATGTGATCCAGTTTTCAAGCACAGCAGATATTCTCTTCCCAGATTATATGATGGGACCAAGGTGATGATGTACTACATGGTTTTAATAATACTTTTGCCTTTCAATGTTTGCCATTTCAAACCATGAGCTGGTTCAAATCAAATTTGCCTTGATTTACAATATGTTCTCATTTGTTTTATCAGTACAGTTTAGAAGCTTTTGTGCTTTGCCATAGTCCACTTTGGACTATATGAACTATCTCAGGATTGCTCTTTGAACTTGAGATAGTTTATATAGTCCACTTTGGACTATATGAACTATCTCAGGATTGCTCTTTGAACTTGAGATAGTTCATATAGTCCACTTTGGACTATATGAACTATCTCAGGATTGCTCTTTTAACTTGAGATAGTTCATATAGTCCACTTTGGACTATATAAACTATCTCAGGATTGCTCTTTGAACTTGAGATAGTTCATATAGTCCACTTTGGACTATATGAACTATCTCAGGATTGCTCTTTGAACTTGAGATAGTTCATATAGTCCACTTTGGACTATATGAACTATCTCAGGATTGCTCTTTGAACTTGAGATAGTTCATATAGTCCACTTTGGACTATATGAACTATCTCAGGATTGCTCTTTGAACTTGAAATGTTCTCACTTGCTTGGTTTCAAAACATAACAAATGCCATAATCTGTTCATTGGGAACCATAACATCAAAGCTGTTTTTCATTGCTGTTGCCGGCCACCATTGCTCATGTAAACCTACTCCTGTAATCTCAGAGGCACCCCGAGTCAGTTTGTTCTGGAACCGGGCCTGTACACGGCCATATACTAAACACACTACAGAGTCCATTCTGTGTTCTGTTATTGTTTACTTCCTCTCTGTAGTTCATTCTGTGTTCCTGTTATTGTTTACTTCCTCTCTGTAGTTCATTCTGTGTTCCTGTTATTGTTTACTTCCTCTCTGTAGTTCATTCTGTGTTCCTGTTATTGTTTACTTCCTCTCTGTAGTTCATTCTGTGTTCCTGTTATTGTTTACTTCCTCTCTGTAGTTCATTCTGTGTTCCTGTTATTGTTTACTTCCTCTCTGTAGTTCATTCTGTGTTCCTGTTATTGTTTACTTCCTCTCTGTAGTTCATTCTGTTATTGTTTACTTCCTCTCTGTAGTTCATTCTCTTATTGTTTACTTCCTCTCTGTAGTTCATTCTCTTATTGTTTACTTCCTCTCTGTAGTTCATTTTGTGTTTCTGTTATTGTTTACTTCCTCTCTGTAGTTCATTCTGTGTTCTGTTATTGTTTACTTCCTCTCTGTAGTTCATTCTGTGTTCCTGTTATTGTTTACTTCCTCTCTGTAGTTCATTCTGTGTCCTGTTATTGTTTACTTCCTCTCTGTAGTTCATTCTGTGTTTCTGTTATTGTTTACTTCCTCTCTGTAGTTCATTCTGTGTTCCTGTTATTGTTTACTTCCTCTCTGTAGTTCATTCTGTGTTCTGTTATTGTTTACTTCCTCTCTGTAGTTCATTCTGTGTTCTGTTATTGTTTACTTCCTCTCTGTAGTTCATTCTGTGTTCCTGTTATTGTTTACTTCCTCTCTGTAGTTCATTCTGTTATTGTTTACTTCCTCTCTGTAGTTCATTCTGTGTTCCTGTTATTGTTTACTTCCTCTCTGTAGTTCATTCTGTGTTCCTGTTATTGTTTACTTCCTCTCTGTAGTTCATTCTGTGTTCCTGTTATTGTTTACTTCCTCTCTGTAGTTCATTCTGTGTTCCTGTTATTGTTTACTTCCTCTCTGTAGTTCATTCTGTTATTGTTTACTTCCTCTCTGTAGTTCATTCTCTTATTGTTTACTTCCTCTCTGTAGTTCATTTTGTGTTTCTGTTATTGTTTACTTCCTCTCTGTAGTTCATTCTGTGTTCCTGTTATTGTTTACTTCCTCTCTGTAGTTCATTCTGTGTTCTGTTATTGTTTACTTCCTCTCTGTAGTTCATTCTGTGTTCCTGTTATTGTTTACTTCCTCTCTGTAGTTCATTCTGTGTTCCTGTTATTGTTTACTTCCTCTCTGTAGTTCATTCTGTGTTCCTGTTATTGTTTACTTCCTCTCTGTAGTTCATTCTGTGTTCCTGTTATTGTTTACTTCCTCTCTGTAGTTCATTCAGTGTTCCTGTTATTGTTTACTTCCTCTCTGTAGTTCATTCCATGTTCCTGTTATTGTTTACTTCCTCTCTGTAGTTCATTCTGTGTTCTGTTATTGTTTACTTCCTCTCTGTAGTTCATTCTGTGTTCCTGTTATTGTTTACTTCCTCTCTGTAGTTCATTCTGTGTTCCTGTTATTGTTTACTTCCTCTCTGTAGTTCATTCTGTGTTCCTGTTATTGTTTACTTCCTCTCTGTAGTTCATTCAGTGTTCCTGTTATTGTTTACTTCCTCTCTGTAGTTCATTCCATGTTCCTGTTATTGTTTACTTCCTCTCTGTAGTTCATTCTGTGTTCCTGTTATTGTTTACTTCCTCTCTGTAGTTCATTCTGTGTTCTGTTATTGTTTACTTCCTCTCTGTAGTTCATTCTGTGTTCTGTTATTGTTTACTTCCTCTCTGTAGTTCATTCTGTGTTCCTGTTATTGTTTACTTCCTCTCTGTAGTTCATTCTGTGTTCTGTTATTGTTTACTTCCTCTCTGTAGTTCATTCTGTGTTCTGTTATTGTTTACTTCCTCTCTGTAGTTCATTCTGTGTTCCTGTTATTGTTTACTTCCTCTCTGTAGTTCATTCAGTGTTCCTGTTATTGTTTACTTCCTCTCTGTAGTTCATTCTGTGTTCCTGTTATTGTTTACTTCCTCTCTGTAGTTCATTCTGTGTTCCTGTTATTGTTTACTTCCTCTCTGTAGTTCATTCTGTGTCCTGTTATTGTTTACTTCCTCTCTGTAGTTCATTCTGTTATTGTTTACTTCCTCTCTGTAGTTCATTCTGTTATTGTTTACTTCCTCTCTGTAGTTCATTCTCTTATTGTTTACTTCCTCTCTGTAGTTCATTTTGTTATTGTTTACTTCCTCTCTGTAGTTCATTCTGTGTTCCTGTTATTGTTTACTTCCTCTCTGTAGTTCATTCTGTTATTGTTTACTTCCTCTCTGTAGTTCATTCTGTTATTGTTTACTTCCTCTCTGTAGTTCATTCTGTTATTGTTTACTTCCTCTCTGTAGTTCATTCAGTGTTCCTGTTATTGTTTACTTCCTCTCTGTAGTTCATTCTGTGTTCCTGTTATTGTTTACTTCCTCTCTGTAGTTCATTCTGTGTTCCTGTTATTGTTTACTTCCTCTCTGTAGTTCATTCTGTGTTCCTGTTATTGTTTACTTCCTCTCTGTAGTTCATTCAGTGTTCCTGTTATTGTTTACTTCCTCTCTGTAGTTCATTCTGTGTTCTGTTATTGTTTACTTCCTCTCTGTAGTTCATTCTGTGTTCCTGTTATTGTTTACTTCCTCTCTGTAGTTCATTCTGTGTTCCTGTTATTGTTTACTTCCTCTCTGTAGTTCATTCTGTGTCCTGTTATTGTTTACTTCCTCTCTGTAGTTCATTCTGTGTTCCTGTTATTGTTTACTTCCTCTCTGTAGTTCATTCTGTGTTCCTGTTATTGTTTACTTCCTCTCTGTAGTTCATTCTGTGTTCCTGTTATTGTTTACTTCCTCTCTGTAGTTCATTCTGTGTTCCTGTTATTGTTTACTTCCTCTCTGTAGTTCATTCTGTGTTCCTGTTATTGTTTACTTCCTCTCTGTAGTTCATTCTGTGTTCCTGTTATTGTTTACTTCCTCTCTGTAGTTCATTCTGTGTTCCTGTTATGTTTACTTCCCTCTGTAGTTCATTCTGTGTTCCTGTTATTGTTTACTTCCTCTCTGTAGTTCATTCTGTGTTCCTGTTATTGTTTACTTCCTCTCTGTAGTTCATTCTGTGTTCCTGTTATTGTTTACTTCCTCTCTGTAGTTCATTCTGTGTTCTGTTATTGTTTACTTCCTCTCTGTAGTTCATTCTGTGTTCTCTTATTGTTTACTTCCTCTCTGTAGTTCATTTTGTGTTCCTGTTATTGTTTACTTCCTCTCTGTAGTTCATTCAGTGTTCCTGTTATTGTTTACTTCCTCTCTGTAGTTCATTCTGTGTTCTGTTATTGTTTACTTCCTCTCTGTAGTTCATTCTGTGTCCTGTTATTGTTTACTTCCTCTCTGTAGTTCATTCTGTGTTCTGTTATTGTTTACTTCCTCTCTGTAGTTCATTCTGTGTTCCTGTTATTGTTTACTTCCTCTCTGTAGTTCATTCTGTGTTCTGTTATTGTTTACTTCCTCTCTGTAGTTCATTCTGTGTTCTGTTATTGTTTACTTCCTCTCTGTAGTTCATTCTGTGTT